CCGGGCACCATGCTGAAACTCAACTCCACGTGTCGACCACGATTGTTTGATCGATGATCTCACGGTAGAGGCACTATGAGACTAGTTGAGGTCGTGTGTGCATGTTGTGTGTTGCATTTTGTGTTTTCTCACCTTGGGTGGGTCGTTTTGTATTTTTGTGTATCGAGCGAGTATCTCGATGGTACCATTCGAGTCTCCCCTTTCGTATGACTAGAGGTGAGGTATACCTTGGTTTGGGGAAACGAGGATCCGCTGTTGTGTGCGGTTAATCCTTTCAGATCCTTGCTCAAGTCGGTGACTCGGCTTATCGGCTAGCTTTACACCTCCGGATTTGTCAGGGATGCATGATGTGTTTAATGTCTCGATGTTGCGTAGATATAATCATGACCCGGACCACGGGGTGGACTTCGGCGAACTGCAGGTCGAGCGAGACCTTACCAATGAGGAGGTACCGGGGGCCAGTTTGGACCAGGGTGTCCATCGGCTGAGGAACCGGGCAGTAAGCTTTGGGAAGGTGCTGTGGAGCCGACATGACGAGTCCGAGACGACTTGAGGGAAGGAGGCCGATATTGGAGGGAGATTCCCTACCTTCTCGTATTGGAGGCCTTCGTATTCTTTTAGTTCGTTAATTTTCTTTTGTCTTTGAATTCCGAGGTCGGAATTCCTTTTAAGGTGGGTAGATTGTAGCGCCCTATTTGTTCCGGATTTATTTGAGATATTTAATCGTTAAATTTTATTTGAATTAATTATTTTGGACTCGATTAATTAATTTCTACGTGATTATATGCTCGTACTTGCCTAAGTGTATTTATTTTATTATCGAGCCGAATTAATTTAATTAATGTTCGAACTGAGTCGGGCATTTAATTATCGATCGCACGCCAACCCGGGCTTTTCCCAATCCGCGCGCACGCCTCACACACTAGGCTCGCGTGCGCCGCCCGACCCGCCACCCTCCTATCCTTGCATGCATGGCACCTCTTTTTGAATTTTAAATTCAATTTATGTAACACCCTATCCCATCAAATTAGCATTTGACCCTCATCACTCTCCTTATGACCAGATTTTATGTGGAGGGGGTTACATTTTGATTTCATTAAATAGAAAACTCTCTCTCTCTCTTTCCTCATTCACTCTCCCTCCCTCTCTCTCTAGGCACTCTCTCCCTCTCTTCTCTTTGGGAAATTTCAGAGATCTCATATTTCTTTTTCTCTCCTTTTTATTGTCGGAAAAATCTCCTGGAGCTCCGCCTCGCTAATGCGCGTGGCCGCCCCACCGCACGCGACGCCGCACGCCCAACCCTTTGGCACGTTCGACGCCACTTTCCTCAGCCATGAGCCATCAAGGATCTCTGGTCACCACCCTCGACGTGCGAGCCGCCTACGAACGCTAGCCCAAGAGGACGATTTCCCCGCCCTTAGGACTTGATCATCTCCGGGCCTTTCTAAAACCGAACTCGTTTATTTCTCCCTTTGGTGTTTGGTAAATTCTTTTTACTAAACTTCATAAATCCCTTGTAATTATGTGTTATATTGCTGGAGATTATATGAATACATGAAAAGGGAATTATTTGGATAAATTGTTACTCAAATTGTTATTTCATGTAGTGTACGTTTTAGATCCATAAGGATAAATTAGAAAATCTTATGATCTGAAATGATCTCGTGGAAATATCTTAAAAAATGGAACATCTTTGAGTCCTGATCACAATGGTTTTGACTTTGCTCAATTTGAAGTTGTATTTTTCAAGTTATGAATTTTTAAAGATGATGTGTCGTATGCAACTTTTAAAATACATGATAAATCGTATTGTTGCCCAAAAACTATGAAATTTGGATATGTTTCTCCCTTGATGTAATTTGTACGTTGTATTACATTTTCATAATTTTTGAAGGTCATTTGCTTGGGTAAATAGTTGTTTTCTCAAATCTGCTGAATGTTGTAAAATCCATGTAAAATCGAATTCTTGATGTTAATTCATGAAACTTTGTCAGAGAGCTTATTTGACATTAAAGTTGATGGTGTGAAAATTCCAGAAATGTATGAATTCACTTTGTTGAGTTTTTATCAAAAACGTATATTCTGTTGAAATTTAGAATAATTATTATAATTCGCTTGATCATTGTTTATGCATGAAATTTTTATATAACACTCTTAGCATGCTATATTTACCTTCATAAAAATATTAAGTTCAGATTCATTCATTTTCTTAGTCAGTTAAATACATACTTAATTTTGCTGAAAACTTGTATTAATTTTATAAAATCGCATGTTTAGGTGGTAAGGCTGAAATTTGGTGAATTTGATGCTCTCAGCAACGTTTATTATATGTCCAAATTTCATATCCAAATTCTTTCATTTACCAGGTCATCTAGAAAATGAGTATTAATTGTCTATTTACCTGATTTATTTGTTTAACATGTTAACCTTTGAAATTGGGCATGATCTTTAATATATGAAGTCCCCTTTTCATGTTATGTAAGTGTTGTGAATGTTGAGTTAAGTGGCTGAGTCTTTGGTGTGTCGTCCTTTTTGTGTTTGTTTTTATATTTGGTTCAAGTCGAGTCGACTGTTCCATAATTCCACGAGAATCTTCCACGAGCCACTTAGTCGATGGATTCGACTTAGTTTTGTGTGTTCGTTGGACTAGTAGTAATCGAGAGTTATCTTGATTTCGTGTAGGTGTCCCAAGGTGTTGACCTCAATTCCTACCGTTCGAATCATATGGTGTAATTTATCGCTGCTATCAGGTGGGTTCATTTATGTTGAATCTATATTTATTGCACTTGTTATTTCGTATAAATGTTTGTCTCGATAGATTTTGTATGCGTGAGAACCCTAGTCTAAGTGTCCCATCGATAGTGCCTTTGACGAATGCATAATCAGTGGAGGTCACCTGCCCGTTGCATCCGGGAGGTGGACGCCAGAATCCGTGTAGAGCGGAGGGGAAAAACTGGACGCCCGAATCCGTGAAGAGCAGAGGGGTAAATTAGCTCCACTGTCTCCTGGATAAGATCCTATGCCCGTTGCATCCGGGGTGGGAGTGTTTCCAGTTACATCCTTGCCGATGTCTGGTCGAAAGGTTTGTTGTATGTACATATGAGGTTTGCGATAGGGCCTAATAGGGAGTAAGATCTGGATTCTATGCATACATTATTTATGGTTGTGAATCTTTATGCGAGATATACTGTGCGGTAATGGTGAGTATGATGGTGATACTCACCCCCATTATTTTTATCTGTCCTCTTGTTCCTCTTCCTATCTTTAGGTTGCGCATGGTCGGCGGCGGCAGCGAGAGATGATCGAGTGGTGGTCATTGGAATAATGTGTCTTTACTTCCGCTTTTATTATCTTGTTGAAACACTTGTTTTTATTTTGAATAATTATGCTTCCGCTTGGGTTTTATGAACATGTTGGATGAACCGTTGAATCATGTTGAACTATCTGGTTGGTTTCGTGACTTATGAATAATGTGGTTTATTTTTAGAACTGATAGTTATGCATGTGTAGGTTCTACCTATTTGTTCGTATTTTTTTAATTGTTGTTGGTAATTAAGTAGCGCCCGTTGATAATCAAAGTTTTAAATTGGAATTTTGCTAAAAATAACTCTGATTTTTATAAATAAATTCGGTAAATCTTTTAAAATAAAACGGGGCGTTACAGCTACTTTTTCCATTTGATTGATAATCGGGAGATCTCAATTCGTAGTTTTATTCCCTAATTTAAGGGATTTATATTCTGGAAAAAATTTCTTGTGAGTTTAAGAAAAGAGTTGTGTGTGAGAGTGATAACATAAAGAAAAAAAATTGCATCGAGAATGAGAATAGATAGAAGAAGAGAGAAAGAGGGGAAGAAGAAGAAGAAGAGACGTGGAGAAAAAGGAGAGAGAAGAAGAGACTGAGAGGGATAATAAATCATAAGAAAAATAACTGCCTTCTAAATCTGACTTTGTCAGGAGTAAATTTTGGAAATAAAAAAGGCATTAATGTCTAAATAGATAAGAGAGGTAATTATCTAAAGAATATTTTTAAATGGGTGGAGGATGTCTTTAATTCCTCTTTATTTTGCCTAAATTCCTCTAAGTCTCGGCCCATCCAAGTAAATAATTCCCTCGGCCCAAAACTCTATTAAGCACGGCCCAAGAAATTCATTAAGCCGAGTCTTTATTTCCCCCTTTTCTCGGCCCACGCAGCAGCATCCCCACTCTCTACTCCCACATCTCCTCCCCGTCTCGCTGCCGGGAGCCCTAGCTCAACAGCTTCCGTGAATTTCAGCCACTCCTCCGGCAGCCCTAAACCCTATCTATCGTGCCGGAATTTTTCCTCATCGGAGATCGAGTTCCCGTCTCATTATATAATTGGTTTATATAGAGTTACATTCAGTTTCTTGATCCAAATAATCTTACATATGTAAAATACCAAAAAAAAAAAAATATACGGTTCATATACAGAATAAAATTCGCTGTAAAAAATTAACAAAAAAGTATTGAAAAAAAAAAATACCTGTTTGATTTCATATTTTTCAATGTTTGTTCATGAACATGGACTAATATTCACGATCTTGTAGTTTGTATATATTTGGAAGATGATGTAACGTGAAATTCAAATTTCTTCTCTTTCTATTTTGTATTAAAACAACATCCTACTTTATAGGTATAAATCTTACCATATAGAATTTGTTTTTATATGGTAAATCGAAAATCCCATAACCTGCAAAATTTAAGAGTTGCGTTTCATTTATTTTGGTAATTGATATCTTGCATCTTTATAATTAAATGTCATGTAATCATATGGTAAAAATAAAAATTCGCCTAAAATTAAACTACGAGTAACAAAATTAATTAGTTCACACAAACTACCAACTATCTATGGTAGAAAACAAAGATTAACAAAAACTCAATACAAAATTACAACTTGTAGCCCTAGGTAGGTAGAGAGAGGGAGCCGAAGACGAGAACGAGAACTAACTATTAATAGTAGCAACGAAATTACTTATAACAATGGAGGCCCAAAACAGATCAATCGCTAGCACCAATCTCCACCGTACATTCAACCTCCGCCTCCACGTGGTGCGCGAAGAAATGCAGGAAACACACCCGACCCGCCATCTCCAGTCAGGTCTCCAGCTCAATGCTCTGCCCGGACGACCCGAACCCGCCCAGCCCATCCGGGGCCACGCTCTCGGGTCGGCCCGAACCCGCCGTCACCGGCAGAGACCGGACGGAAAACGTGGCGGCGATGTAAATCGCCCCGTGGGGGGTGATACTTCCGGCGAGTACGAAGAGGATCCCCACCTGGGCGCCGCCGTGGAGGAGGTGGAGGGCGCTGCCGTAGTGGGCGAGGGCGACGCAGTTGGGGCTGCGGACGGTGACGTACTGGGAGAAGTTGAAGGTGGAGGTGGAGAAGGCTGGGACCTGGACGGCGTTGACGGAGATCCGCAGGACCTGGGCTTGAAAACGGTGAAGTAGATGGCGGCGGCGGCGGCGGCGACTAGGAGGGCTATGAGGAAAACGGCGGCCATTAGGCAGAAGGCTAGGTTTGCGGCGCCGGTGGGTTTGTGGGATTTGCCCATTTTGGTTGAACGCTTGATCTGCACCTCTGATTTTGAACTTATGATTAGTTTTGGGATAGAAATTCCTTTTTTTGTTTTGTTTTTGTTGGGACAGTTCTGAGTAGGGCTGGCATTTTTTAACCGAAAATCGAAAATCGAACCGAACCAAACCAAACCGACGAGAAAATAAACCGAACCGTACCGACCCACTTGTAATGGTAACCGACTATCGGTTACCGAATCACTATCGGTACGATATCGGTTTGAACCCATAAGAGTTCGGTAAAACCAATACCGAACCGATAAGGGTAAAAAAAAATAAAACAAATATTTTTTTTAATATTAAAACAATGACTAGATTTTAGTGTTCAAAAATTGAAATAAGGGCTCAATCCTACCTAAATCTCAAAATGACGGGAAAAATACCATTACTCATCGCCTCATTCACCTTCTAATCGGAACATTGTGGGTTTACCAGTCTCACTTCTTCTAAAGAAGATGCATGCTCTCGTTGTTGTAGTCTATTCTCGTACCACCGTTATTAGATAAGTTAGTTGAAGTTGTATCACAAACTTTATTTCTTGCATGTTAGCAATATATTGTTTTATTAGTTGCGTTTACCACAAAAACTATAATCTAATAATATATAAACTAACTTCTATACATTAAATTTAAGCTTTTTAAACCTTCAATGGATTTGTGAGTCTTTTGTGTGTATTTAATTGGTAAGCAGTGAAAAAAATTATAAAAATGACAAGAAAAGTAAACACTAGCAATTTTTTTCTGTGCTCAAAATCGGTTCGGTTTTTTGGGTATAAAAACGATACCGAACCGAAACCGAACTGAGTTTTTGGTTACCGAATTTTTGGCAACCGACTTTAATCGGTTCAGTATCGGTTTTGCATTCCGAGGTTACCGACATTATCTGTACGGTATCGGTATACGCTTATCGGTTCGGTAACCGAACCGATACCACCCCTAGTTCTGAGTTCTGAGTTCCGACTAACTTGTGTCTGGCACGTGACTACTACACAGCTCAAATTATTTCTAGTGTTGTTGAATTTTTTACTTTTTACTTAATTAAAAATAATATATATATATATATATATATATTTATATAATTTTTCATTAACAAAAAATTTATATTATAGTATAATAGACTTGACAATATAATTGATGAATTTATAAATTATGAATATATAACTAGAATTTCACAATTAAAAAAGACATAAAAAAATGTATTTTGAAGTTAGAAAGAAATATGTCGCAATAGAAAAAATAAAAGCTATCATCAAGATTAGAAAAATAGAATTAGAGGGAAAAATTGTAAATTTTGATAATTACCGCGTTTATGTTATAATTAACTTTAATAAAGTTATTGGTTGAATTAAATTATAATTGGCTGAGTTGTAAATTAATTGATTATATATCTTTCTTTTTTTAATTTTATTTTCTAACTCGGGGGCATGATTAAAATTATAAAAAATGTTTCCACAGTTTTTGTTAGATACATTACGCTATATGTTTTGGGATGTGGGCCTATGTCAAGACATAGATTTACCCATGATTCCAACGAAATATTTTTATTAGAATTTTCATTGAAAAATTCAAATGGGTGTGTAATAACATTAAAATATTTGTTAAAATCGTCAAATATATTTTCGTTGGAATTTCATCTTTCACCTGTAGTAAAAGTATGACTCAAAATCAATAAACAACAATTTTCATTATATATAAGATTGTGTGTAGTTATTATTATAGAAGTTGTTGATAATGATACCAAATATAACACATTTAATGTAATTATCATTTAATTTATGGTAATTAGTATTTTTTCCAAAACGAATAAGATACATCTAGGTTGAAAAGTCCTTAATTATTTTAATAGTATTATAATGCCTAAATACGGGATAAGAATGATGTTCTACGTAATAAAAAGATAAGATTACACAATGAGAAAGCTTATAGCTCGCTTTCCATCTAAAAGTAAAAAAAAAGTGATAAAATTAATTAATGTCATATATCAATTGGAGATGACAAATGATAAATATAAAACATACTTAATATGCACATTTATAAAAACTAAAATTGTTATTTGCATTAACAATCGGTATGTTAGTCTTAATTTTTTTAGTTAAAAACTTGAGTACTTTCTAGAGAAGTCAGAATTTTCTTAGAGAAGTATGAATACCAATATCAAGAGACAAAAGAAAGAGTCTTAGAGAAAAAGTCAGAATTTTCTTAGAGAAGTATGAATACCAATATCAAGAGACAAAAGTCTTTTAAAATTACTACTTTTTTGGTACTAGCATTAAGTATATGGACTTTGTATGAAATTGGTTCTCATGTAAAATGATCCAATATTATTATAATACATAAATGTACTAGTGCAACTAATCAGTCAAGATAAACTGTACAGTTGACACTACAACCGTTCGGATGGGGTGTTCATGTCCATCTAGGTTGTGAACAACTATTCTTGTTCGCAAGTGACTGGTAGAGTGATCTTCGGTTCACCCGATGACGACCCACCCTATCTAAGTGCAGAACAACAGAACGTAGAACTTGTTTAATCTAACACGATTCTCATTCATAAAGGGCAAATGTGTAATAACATGCAAAGCCAAACTTTCAGTATATAACACTAACATTATCAACCAATGGACACTCGGGTTGACTTTACTTAGAGTAAATTCATTGTACATTAATTCTGTAGTCGTCATGCCATGCAACATACTTCAGTAAGTGTTGTTTGAAATATAATCAGACTATTAATACTTGACTTGAATTTTCTCTAATATTAGGCGCAGTTACAAAGATCAAACATGGATACCTCCAAACTACACAATTGTTTTGATTTTTAACTAATAATAAGTTAACAAACTATTATAATTGAGCTCGTTGGGCTGCAAGAAAATCGGAATGAATTTAGAGAAAAAAAAAATCAACTAAAAGCCTGTCTTTTTCACCAACACTTAGGGGAACTGGTACCGATTCACCTATTCAACCGGTTTCGAACTGAATCTTCGCCATTTAAGAAAAGAACAAAACTAAAATATGATTAATCAAATTGAAAAGTAAACAATTTTAATCCAAATGGAGAAGAAACTTCCCTCCTAAGGCCTAAAATCTCAATTTAACAAATGATAACCTAACTAATAACTCAATGTCCACCTAACAAAAGACTCAAGCCATATGCATAGCCTAATAGGTATTCTTACCACATGGGCCTCAAGCCCCAATAACTCAATTAAATAAAACAGCAAATCCATATCTAACATCATATTTCCATTTTTCCCAGGAAAATAAAAATCATCTCAATTTCTGATTTCTTCCACAAGAAACGGTAATGGGGACTGACTCCATTATTCACCTACGATATTCCATTTCCATGTAATAAATTTACCATCGCTGGAAAAAAATGGGCAGCAAAAGGCCATCTTATAATCATAGAAATAAAACATTACAAACCAAACGGGCCCATGGGGCTGTTCAGCTATAATTTTTAGTTAGATCCATGTTTGGCAGTCTCCTCAGCCCGTGTCAATGCATCTGCAAACACATCCACTGTCAATCCCTGACATCTTCCTGAGAAATTGCACCAGCACAATCGAGAGTATCAGGTCTTAGCTCAATTTAGAGAACTATCACGTTACAAAATTAATCAATAAATAAATAAATAAATAAATAAATAAATATGAGTACACTTCCGCTATCTGTTCTCCAAGCAGCTTCAAACATCTCCCTGTTTACACTTCCAACTCGCAAAACTCTCTTTGAATTATGTTTAAATTACGTCCATATTATTTTATAGATTTGTTATAAATTGATGGCCTCTTGAATAACTCAATGGGAAGTGCTCGACGCACTCATTACCATTTGGTTCAAACATCTCCCTGTTTACACTTCCAACTCGCAAAACTCTCTTTGAATTATGTTTAAATTACGTCCATATTATTTTATAGACCCCATAAGTGATTTTATTATCTTTGAATTATGTTTAAATTACGTCCATACTATACTGCGTCAAGCGAGTTGATGATCACCATATAGACCCCATAAGTGATTTATTAGATCGACTTTCAAATCCTTGTGCATCCTACTATCTTGAACTTGCTTCATTCGACTAATCACCCTTGACATAAGTAACGTGAAATCACGTTCCAAAGTAACATTATGATTTGATTCCTCTCTAAGCGGTTCCTAATTCTCAAGATTTATGCCTTGACCCTGTTCACTTTCAATGATCATTTTGTGCAAAATGATACAGGTTTTCATTATTTTTCCACGATCTTCCACATTCCAAAATCTCACCGGACCTTTAACAATATGCCACCTACTTTGTAACACACCAAATGCACGTTCCACGTCCTTCCTTACAGCTTCATGTTGTTTGGAAAATAGTTTTTCCTTAGCGGATGTTGGTTGAGATATGGTCTGAATTAATGTGGCGTATTGCAGGTAAATGCCATCCGAGAGATAATATCCCATTTTATAATGGTGACCTTGTACTACAAACTCACATGATGGTGCAACTTCATTGACGAGATCATCAAAAGGTGGAGATCTATCTAAAACATTAATATCGTTGTTACTTCCAGCCATACCAAATAATGCATGCCAAATCCATAAACTTTTGAAGCCACAACCTCTAAAATGAGTGTAGGAACTTTTTTGAACCCATTAGTATACGTATCATGCCAAGCAGTCGGATAATTTTTTCAATGCCAATGCATACAATCTAGGCTACCAAGCATACCTGGAAATCCTCGAGCTTCATTTTCTTTCATTAACACCTGCATATCCACTTCACTGGGTTTTCTTAGATATTGTTCTTCAAACACTACAATAATCGCATCACAAAAACTCTTAAGGCTTTCAATGGCAGTGCTCTCTCCTATTTGAATATATTCGTCA